TGAACTCTCTTAATACTTGATATATATAATTTGAAAAATGCTTCTCATCGCCTGCATTATTTTTTGCATGATTAGCTAATTTGTAACATTAATATCCTGATAGTTGCTTTTTCTTCCCATCCATGTATCAACCTTCTAAAAATCTGAAGTCAATGGAGAATGCCCAGAGGAACTACACAGGTTTTCTTTCAGGCTTCACTGTCGGTGCAGCAGCATGACTGTGGGGGCCCGAGGACTTGCATTTTTATGAGTCCATTCCTCAATTAAAGATTTTTTTAAATTTAAAGACAAATATAGAGCACAAAGAGAGCATGTTATGTACAATTTTTGAATATAAATATCCACTGTCCCTCTCACTACATGTTGCTAAGTGATAATTCACATGTGTGGTATACTAATAATAATGGGCCTTGTAAATCTTTGGACCTTTCAGCTAATAAATATGTACTGCTGGCATGTTGAAAAAAAGACAACTATAATACAGATATAGATATAATATAGCTATAATATGTAGACAGCCTGGATTCACAACCAATAGGTTCATTTAGTTCCTTAAATTTTAGAAGAAATTAGATTAAAACATTTTCTGCAGCCCCTAAAAATATTAGGACCCCAACCCGCTGTGCTGTTGTGCCTTTCTCGCTCAGTGTCTCCTTCAGGATCACGTGCTTGGCACAGTCGAGTTTTTACAGCTGCTTTACCTTCCTAGACTTCCACTGAATGGCCCTCCTGCCATAGGAGCATGCCAATCGTTTCTCTGAATGTTTAGGGTTTCACATTTTTTAAATTAAGAGCAATGCTTTCAGGCATGGAAAGTCAAGACACGGTGGCAAAAAATGACCTACATGAAAGATCTCTGTGAGTGAGACCCCGGTGGAAAGAAGGGGCCATTAAAGAAGGAGGTACCTTTCTCTGAAGGGAGGAGAGAACTTCCACTTTGATTATGGCCCTGTCCAACTAATGTCAGAGTTTGTGGACTCAAGAGGCTTCCATAGCCTTGGCAGCTCATGACAAGAGCCTTGGGTGATCACCGACATCATAAATAAGAGTATCAATTGTTAAATCAACAATAGGAGTCCCTGTGCACTTACTCCCCATGAAGGACCTCTGTCCTTAATGAGGTGTACTATGAGAATTAACTATAAAACTTGTTTTCAAACAGTACTTTATACTTTGTGTATCTGTGTGGGTGCAAACTGTTGAAATCTTTACTTAGTATAGGGTTGGCCTTCTGTATATAAAGTTAATTAAAAACAAATCTTAATGAAGAATGAAATGGGAGAGGAAGTAGGAGGTGAGACGGCATTGGGGGTGGGAGGGCAGAAATGGGGGGAAGAACTGCCATATTCCTAAAGCTGTACCTATGAAATTTGCATTCATTAAATAAAAGTTTTCTCAACGAAAAAAGGAATTATCAACCATTAAAAAAATTTTAAGAGTAATGTTTTTTATATGATACCTAGGAAACCACGATGCTTTTAGGTTCCTCATATATATGTGCAGATAAAATCATCATTTTATAGAATTAAATGAAGTAAGCATATAAAAACACATTGTAAACTATAAATCATTTTACAAAGGTTGACTATTAATATGTCTTTTTAAAAATTTTTACTTTCAATACCTTAATCAAAAATATATACATTGAATAAACTTTAAGGGAACAAGGCATGTGTTTGGGCTATCGGTTAAGATGCCCACATCCCATATGGGAGTGCATGAGTTCAATATCCAGCTCTGGCTCCTGACTCTCACTAAAGCAGACCCAGGAGACAGTGGTAATGGCTCAAGTAATTGGGCTCCTCCTACCCACGTGGGAGACTAGGATTGAGTTCCTGGCTCCCAGGTTTAGCCCCAGCCCAAGGTCATTGCAGGCATTTGGGCAGTAAACCAACAGTTAAGAGCTCTCTCTCTCTCTAGTCTCTTTTTTTTTTTTTTTTTTTAAGATTTATTTATTTACTTGAAAGTCAGAGTTACACAGAGAGAGAGAGAGGTCTTCCATCCACTGGTTCACTCCCCAGTTGGCCGCAATGGCTGGAGCTGCACCGATCCGAAGCCAGGAGCCAAGAGCTTTGCAGGGGCCAAGGTCTTGGGCCATCTTCTACTGCTTTCCCAGTCCATAGCAGAGAGCTGGATTGGAAGTGGAGCAACCAGGAGTCAAACTGGCACCCATATGGAATGCTGGCACTTCAGGCCAGGGCGTTAACCCACTGTGCCACAGCGCCGGCCCCTCTAGCCTCTGTCTTTTCACTACTCAAACTAAATTAATCCTGATAATTCCTTTTAATTTACAGATACCTTGGTTAAAAGGATAGTACTGGAAACTCAAAGAGAAATGGCCCTCACTGATTGATCCCTGGTTTTGTTCTTGAAAGTTAACTCAGTGCTATTTTAAAATGAGGCCTTTCTCTCTCTGCCGTACATTGGTGTGCTTACTATGCCACCTTAGGGTGTTGGGAGAGCATCTCTTCTTTTCCGCAAGCCTTTCCTTGGAAGACTTTTTTTCTTTTCTTGAAGGATTTATTTATTTATTTGAAAGGCAGAGTTACAGAGAGGGGGAGAGACAGAGAGGGATCTTCCATCTGTTGGTTCACTCCCCAAATGGCTATGATGGCCAGGAGCCTAGAACTCCATCTGGGTCTCCCAAGCACTTGGGCCCCTGCCAGTGCTTTCCCAGGTACATTACCAGGTAGCTGGATTGGAAGTGGAGCAGCAGCCAGGACATGAACTGACACTCATATGAGATACTGGCATCTCAGGCAACATCTTTCATCTTTTTTTTTTTTTTTTTTTTACAGGCAGAGTGGGCAGTGAGAGAGAGAGAGACAGAGAGGAAGGTCTTCCTTTGCCATTGGTTCACCCTCCAACGGCCGCCACGGCTGGCGCGGTGTGCTGATCCGATGGCAGGAGCCAGGTACTTCTCTTGGTCTCCCATGAGGTGCAGGGCCCAAGCACTTGGGCCATCCTCCACTGCACTCCCAGGCCACAGCAGAGAGCTGGCCTGGAAGAGGGGCAACCGGGACAGAATCCGGCGCCCCAACCGGGACTAGAACCCAGTGTGCCGGGGCCGCTAGACGGAGGATTAGTCTGTTGAGCCGCGGCGCCGGCCTTCAGGCAACATCTTAACCTGCTGTTTCATAATGCTGGTTCCTCCTTGGAAGAGCTCTGTAGCTCTACAGTACAAAGAGCGAACACCAGGTCATCTTAATATGACTTAAGGGAGAAAGAAGCAAAGATCCAGATGGTTTAGGATAGCAGTATTCCTGGCGGAAATTTTTCTTTCTCTGTCATAAATGGAGACTTGCTAGCAATCTGTGCGCAGTTGCTAATGGAGACCCATCGTGTATGATAGAAATAAAAACATCCTAACCATATTCTCTTCCCATTAATTCAGGTTTTAAAATATAGAAGAATGCTGAATTGTGTGAATCACTTGTTCTTTTTATAGAATTTTAAAATACTAAAAAAAGGGCTGCCATTTGACCAAAGGCCACATCCTATACCATAGTGCTTAGGTTTGAGTCCAGCTCAGGTTCCAGACTCCAGCTTCCTGTTAATATATATCCATGGGAGGCCGGCACCGTGGCTCACTAGGCTAATCCTCCGCCTTGCGGCGCCAGCACATAGGGTTCTAGTCCGGTTGGGGCGCCGGATTCTGTCCCAGTTGCCCCTCTTCCAGGCCAGCTCTCTGCTGTGGCCAGGGAGTGCAGTGAAGGATGGCCCAAAGTGCTTGGGCCCTGCACCCCATGGGAGACCAGGAGAAGTACTTGGCTCCTGCCATCGGATCAGTGCGGTGCGCTAGCCGCAGCGTGCCGGCCGCGGCAGCCATTGGAGGGTGAACCAACGGCAAAGGAAGACATTTCTCTCTGTCTCTCTCTCTCACTGTCCACTCTGCCTGTAAAAAAAAAAAAATTGGATATATATATATATATATATATATATACACACATCTCCATGGGAGGCAGCAGGTGATGGCTCAAGTGGTTGGGTCCCTGCCATCCACATAGGACCTGGATTGACTTTCTGGCTTGGCCTCAGCCCAGTCTCTGCCAGTGTGGGTATTTCCAGAGTAAACCAGAGGTGGGAGCTCTATCTTTGTCTCTCTCCCTCTGAGTGTGTGTGTGTGTGTGTGTGTGTGTGTCTGCCTTTTAAAAAAAATTGAACATCTTTAAAGATAATTTACAAACATTATATTATCTCCATGTTACAGGAGAAATATAGTCATCAATCAGAACTTGAGAGGTGGGCAAATTTTCCTACCAAAGACTGAACAGTAAATACTTCAGGCTTCACAAGTTACAAATGTCTCTGTTATATTTTCTTTTCTTTCTTTCAAGTACCTTTTAAGATATTAAAGGCCCTTCCTTTCTCACTAGACATACAAAAGCAGTTGAGCCTGAGGTTGGCACTGTGGCACAGAAGGTTAAAGCCCTGGCCTGCAGAGCTGGCATCCCATATGGGCACCGATTCGAGTCCCAGCTGCTCCACTTCTGATCTAGCTCCCTGCAGATGCACCTGGGAAAGCAGTGGAAGATGGCCCAAGTGCTTGGGCCCCCGCACTCATGTAGGAGACCCAGAAGAAGCTCCTGGCTCTGGCTTCAGATTGGCTCAGCTCCAGCTGTTAAGCCACACAGGCCTGCACCCATGTGTGAGACCTGGAGAAAGCTCCTGGCTCCTGGCTCTGGATCGGCACAGCTCTGGCCATTGCAGCCAACTGGGGAGTGACCCAGCGGAGTGAAGCAGCAGATGGAAGACCACTCTCTCTGTCTCCACCTCTCTCTGTAACTCTTTCTTTTCAAATAAATAAAATAAATCTTAAAAAAAAAAAAAAAAAAGCAGGTGAGACGGATGGGCCCCCATGCAGGCCCTGGCTTTGGACCTCTAGTAAAAAATAATGTGTCAAATACATTTACAAAACAAGAAAACTAGGAGCAGAATTTGAATCTTCACAATTCACTCAACATCTCATTCTACATTTATGAGAGAAACTTTGACTTTACCTGAAATTCATCGAAACACAGGAGACAGGCTTCTTGGCTGATTTCTTCAGCTATGGGAGCAATTGGGTCATACGATTTAGCCATGAATCCTGGTTTCCTTTTTGGCAAGCTCTGTTTAAGGCGATGAATTCCTTGAATGCATGAAATTAAACACAGGCCAAATACTGTATTAATAGTATATATTAGACTACCATAACATAATTTTTAAATTTCTAAATGAAACTTCAGTGAGGATACAAAAATTAAGTTTAAATTCCGTGTATAAAAAAAATTTGATTCCTGAAATTGCATTTTCTCTATGTGAAAATAACTTGTTCAGGCATTGTTGTATTATGTCTAAAGTTGTAAGGAAACCCCAAGGACATTCTATCTGCACTGTTCAATCATCTGGAGATGACAAAGCAGCAGACAGGTGACCAGACGGACGGACATGTGCTGAGGATGCAGGGATGGGAGCAGAGGATGTGATTCTGCCTAAGTACTACCTGTCTTGTCTAGCATATCCAATCAGAATGTCCCCTGGTCTCTAGCCTAATGCACTGAAGCCAGTCTTAATGTGTACACTAAATACCAAAAGTATTCGGAGAAGAAACACTGTTATGCATTGTACACATGGATCAAAACATTACACTGTGGGTGCCGGTTTGTGTCCTGGCTGCTCCTCTTCCAATCCAGCTTTCTGCTATGGGCTGGAAAATCAGTGGACGATGCCCCAAGTGCTTGGGCCCCCGCATCTATGTGTGAGACTTGGAGAAAGCTCCTGGCTCCTGGCTTCACATTGGCTTAGCTCCAGCCATGTGGGGAGTGAGCCAGTGGCTGGAAGACCATTCTCTCTGTCTCTCCCTCTCTGTAAGTCTACCTCTCAAATAAATAAAATCTTTTTTAAAAAAAAATCACACAGGGCTGGCACTGTGGCGTAGTGGGTAAAGCTACCACCTTAAGTGCCAGCATCCCATATGTGGGCCAGTTGGAGTTCCAGCTGCTCCACTTCTGATCCAGCTCTCTGCTGTGGCCTGGGAAAGCTGTAGAAGATGGCCCAAGTCATTGGGCCCCTGCACCCTCGTGGGAGACCTGGAAGAAGCTCCTGGCTCCTGGCTCTGGATCGGCACAGCTCTGGCCGTTGCAGCCAACTGGGGAGTGACCCAGAGGATGGAAGACCTCTCTCTCTCTTCCTCTCCTCTTTCTCTGTGTAAATCTGAGTTTCAAATAAAGAAATCTTTAAAAAAAAATCACACTGTAACCCCATGAATAGATACAATTATTATATGTCAATTAAAATGTTAATTTTTTAAAAATTAGGAATGCTCCTATTCTGGGGAAGTTACAGTGTAGCTGATAGACAAATCATGCAAAATTGAAACAGCATGAGAATACTAGCAAAGCAACAAGACATATAAGATAGAACAAACTGAATGCTTCTGAGCTAAGGTAACACAGAGTCAAGGACCAGATGGTCTTGGTGTGACACCTCTCGGGCTCTGCACTCACGTGGCTGTGCCCTGGCTTCCACGACCCTGGGATGCAGGAATGGCTCTACCACATTTGGAGTGGGTTCTAGGGTCTTAGAGGATACCTGAGTCCAAGATCTGGAGTCAGGTGCTGAAAGCTACTCACTCCAGGGCTAGTAGGTTCCCTCTGGTTCTAAATAGTTCTGAACAGCTTTCAAGGCTAAGTCTCGTTAGCCCAGGACACAAAACACCTGGTGGGGTTCAGGAATCTGAGGCAACAGAATCATTTGAGGAGTTCTAAACACAGTTGATTGGTCTTCAAAATCCTTTCTTCCAAACACAGCTGGTGGGTACAGTTTACTAGTCAAACTAGGTCAGAGGTCATATGTCAACTTTGTTCCCAAAATGCATGGATAACGTGTGTAGCTGGACTGGGGTTCTGGTGCTGGCTCTGGACATTGACTTCAAGGTCTGCAGTTTTGGGGTGTATATTGAAAATACCCAAAGCATCAGATGACAGAGACCTCAAAGGCCAGAGTCCCAGCAAGGGATCTTAGACTGTGACCTTGGAGTTATTTCCATACAACTCTCCGTTCTCCATGTTAGCCTGATACTAACATATGAACATGTAAACATATAAAAAGAGATACAGAAAAATAAGATACATAATTGTGAAAGGAATAACGGAGAGAAAGAAATAAAGGTCCCAATCAAGTATAACTTCTTGTAAGAGGTACATTTATAATGTTTTTTTTAACTCAACACTTTAGAAATACAAAATACCTGATATTCATATAATACTTGGTTCTCTGACTTGGAAGTATTGAATTTGTCTTAAAAACCAACTCTGGTTGCATGACCACTTTAACATTAAAAAAAAAAAAAATGAAGCCAAATAAAATCTCACTTCAAGTACAAATCTAATCTTTTAAAGGTCACAGCTTCACTGAGTGAAGAAAGTTCCTTTATGGCTGTGGCCCACTGAAAAACCACTTCTTCCACTTTATTAACTTACTTTTGTGCACATCCAGCATGAAACCATGAAAATGGACCCGTTTTTTCCTCTTCATTTCCACATAAGCATAGAACATGTCCATCACCATTGTTTTTCCTGTACCTTAAAAATTAAGAATACTAATAAACACTACGTACTGATTGCACTAACAATTGTTCATTAGCTTTTTTTTTCTGATTTAAAAAAAATTTATTTATTTTATTTGAAACTCAGAGAGAAAGGGAAAGACAGAGAGGGATCTTCCCTAAGGCACCAGCATTGTGGTGTAGCAGGTTAAGCCGCTGCTGTGTGGTTCACTGGCATCGCATATGGGCACGGGTTTGAGTCCCATCTATTCCACTTCCGATCCAGTTCTCTGGTATGGCCTGGAAAAGCAGTAGAAGACGGCCCCAATGTTTGGGCCCCTGCGCCGTTGTGGGAAACCCAAAAGAAGCTTCTGGCTCCTGGCTTCAGATCAGCCCAGCTCCTGCTATTGCAGCCACCTTGGGAGTGAACCAGCAGATTGAAGACCCTCTGTAACTCTGCCTCTCAAATAAATAAAAAAATTTTTTTAAAAAGAGGAATACAAATGAAAGAAACAACAGAAAAATCAACGAAATCAGAAGCAGACTCTTTGAAAGCATAAAAAAATAATTGTTAAGACTCTTAGTTGAACTAAACAAGAAAAAGTAGGAAAAAAAATCAAACTGCCAATATCAGGAATAAAAGAGAGGGTATCAGAGTTCTTACAGATATTAAGACAAAATATTATTTTAAACAACTTTCTGTCAATAAATTCAACAGCTTAGGTAAAAGGGACAAACCCTTTGAAAGATACAACTTGCCAAAACTAAAATGAAAAGAAACAGAAAATTTAAATAACTACATTTATTTTAAAAATTGAATTTGCAATTAATAACCTTTCCACAGAGAAAATTCCAGGCCAAAAAGGCTTCACTGACAAAAACTATTAAATATATTAGGTCTAAAAATACCAATCTCACACTAACTCTTCAAATGACAGAGGAGGAAGGAATATATTCTAGTTCATTTTCTCAGGCCGGCAATATGCAAAAAGAAGAATCCATCATTACCAATGAGGCTTATCTCAGAACTCCAAGAAGAGCTTAACATTAAAAAATAATCAATATAATTCATCATATTAAGAAAATAGAGAAGAAGGGGCCAGCGTTGGTGCAGTGGGTTAAAGTCCCTGCCTGCAGTGCCAACATCCCATATAGGCACCGGTTCAAGTCCTGGCTACTCCACTTCCAATCCAGCTCTCTGCTATGGCCTGGGAAAGCAGTGGAGGATGGCCCAAGTCCTTGGGCCCCTGCACCCACATGGGAGACCCAGAAGAAGCTCCTGGATCCTGGCTTCAGATCGGCTCAGCTCTGGCTGTTGAGGCCATCTGGGGAGTGAACCTGCAGAGGGAAGACCTTTCTCTGAACTCTATCTTTCAAATAAATAAAATAAATCTTTAGAAAAAATAAATGAAAATAAAGAATAAAAACCATACCATCATCACAATGTTGGAAAAAAAGTGTTAACAAACTTCATCTCCATGATAAAAAATGCTCAGAAAGCTGGAGAAACATGAAGGACATACACAAACACCTACAATGAAAAGATACTCAACAGCACTGATCATTGGGGTAAAAAACAATCAGAACCACAGGGAGATATCACTTCAATACATTCAGATGGCTATCATTTTTAAAAACAGAAAAATCATAAGTTAGTGAGAAGGTATAAAACTCAGAACTCTCGTGTTTTGCCAGTGAAATTGATAATGGGGAAGATACTATGGGTTGCCTTAAAACATTAAACACAGTATGACCATATGTCCATAGGATCCAGCAAACCCACTTCTAGGCACTCTCTTATACACTGAAGAGGTGAAAGAGGAGTTCAAATGGACATCTATCCATCAATACTCATAGCAGTATTATTTTTGATAGCCATGAAAGACGAGAAGACTCAAACATCCATCAGTATGGGAAAAGACAAACGAAATGCAGTATACACAAAGAAGAGAATAGTGCCCAGTCTCTCCAAGGAAGGAAATTCTGACATGTACTACAGCACAGATGGGTCGTGAAGATGTTCTGCTGAGTAATACAAGCGAGAGAGGAGAGAAACTGCATGATTCCACTCACATGAGGTTCTTGCAAAGAGTCAAGTCCAGAGAGAGAGAGAAATAATATAGACAAATAGATAGCTGAAATGACCTGGAAATTCAATCAACAGCACATTGAAAATGGAAATAATTATGTCATAATTAGAAATCTGAATAACTGATTATTTGATGAAGTTTAAAATATTGCTAATTTTTGGAAGGTGAAACGGTACAGGTTATAGTTAAGTTTTTACTTATTTTCTATTCATTCTTTCTCTTAGGAAATCCTATCAACATTGGCTTTTTTCTACCTGTAACAGAGATTAGTCGAGATACCTAAGTAATTATTGATATTTATTTTCCCCAGCAGCAAACCGTACAAAGGGTGAGCTTCAAAGGAGAATATTCAGTTCATGATGTTACCAAAAGTGAAAGAAAGGCAACATGGATTTTCTAAAATACAAAGTTCTTTCAATGTCACTTTGGATGCTGTACAATGGACTGTGCTGGAAGTTCAACAGTCCCAGAAGGTTTCTCAGACTCAGATCACAGCAGGTGGGCCAGCAGGATCACTAAAGGCCTCCATCAAACACCACCGTTTTCAATGAAATGTGAATGTTCTAGTGAGGTACCCCATAAACCCAATGGTACCCTTTCAGATTTGCCAAGAAGTTAGAGGTGTTTCAGTTAAATGTTTAAAAGCAGGAGCTGGTGCTGTGGCATAGCAGGTGAGGCCGTCGCCTGCAGTGCTGGCATCCCTTGTGGGTACTAGTTCAAGTCCCGGCTGGTCCACTTCCAATCCAGCTCTCTGCTTATGGCCTGGAAGGGCAGTGGAGGATGGCCCAAGTCCTTGGGCCCCTGCACCCACATGGGTGACCTGGAGGAGGCTCCTGGCTCCTGGCTCCAGATGGCCAAGGTGAGAAGCTGGACCAAACTCCAGCCGGCCACTGGGAAGCAATGGAGACCAGAGGCACTGGGTCCAGGCTTTTCCTACCACCACCGCAAGCGGAATGGCCTTGTCATGGGATGGAAGGCAAGAGAAAATTTCTTTTCTTTCTTTCTTTTTTTTTTTTTTTTGCATGCCATCCTTCAAATCAGTTTTATTCTCTTAAGGGACAGGACACCAAAGATTAGTTTTTTATACAGATGGCCAATAGTCTACAGTGGGGACCAAATGCCCATCCCTATCATATTATTGGATGCAAATTGCATTATTCTTGTCATTTATCCACTATTAATATTTGCAGAGACTGTTCAGTGTTATGGTTATAAGGATGGAAGATCTGCCTTTCACATTCAGACAAAGGACATGAACAAACAGAAGCAACTTCAGTGTGGCAACAATGACAGTTCAGGACCCTACAGATTCACAGTGAGAAATGAGGATATCCAGGGCTTTATTTTGTAATGCAGTAAGGCCACAGCGTGGCCCCACCCCCACTTCCCACCCTGCACTTCTTAAATGTTTATCACTCTCGGAGACCCAGCAATCCCCTTCATGACCTTTTGAAGATCATTGAACTGGAAAATTATACCCTTATTTCTCTTATACAGATCAGTAGCATTACTTACAGAATTCATTTTACATAGATAGCAAAATTTATACTAAAATTTTCACTAAACTAACTTTATATTTTCCTTGCTTCAGTTTCACTGCTAAACATCATCACAATGCCTTCTGGTTCTCATTTTCTTGGTGCTCACAATGCCCTTATCTTTCTTTGGATCTTCTTCCTGTCTCTTGATACCTTGTGTTTCTCTCTTCAGATTTACTCTCCAAAGAGTCTGTACCAGGCTTGAGATTAGTCTTTCTGGATCTCAAACTCATTAACTCTGTATTTTCAGTTACTCCTTTCTGATTCTTCATGGAGACTTCTACACTTTCCCCCCTCACTTGCACCTCTGTTGTGTTATGTATGCATTCTCAGGGAAGAGAAAATTTCAAAATGTGTTGTGTATGAGGCTAAGTGTTCTTTGGTGAATCTATTTCTCAGGCATGCATGTGCACACAAACGCAGGTGCGCATCCGTGTGTGTGCCCATACCTTAGGTCAGGATGTAAAAAATACAGATTCAATATGTTAAAAAAAAATCTTTCAAAGCTACTGAACCAGTTTGTATGCTTTGGGAGAGCAAAAGCTGCCTCTGCCTTATTCACTGTCACATCTGCAGAAATAACACACCTCCTGCCACCAGGCGGACGTTCAACAAAAACTTTTGTCAAGTGAGTCAGGGAACAAGAACAGGAGACGTTGATCAAAGGTGGGGAAGAAGCCAACACTAATTTTGTTTTAGTCCCTACAGAGTCATAAACAAAGCCTGATATTTTTCTCAAGAGGAGTCTCACCAGGGGGTTAACTTGTAAACCCTAAAACTCTTTAGTTCTGACATTTAAACTCATAATTAGGAAGCCCAAAACCACTGCTCAACAGCTCCTCCACCAGCCAGCAGTCACTTTTCATAGGCAGCCCCTGCAGAGGAGGCGGAAGAACTGGTGTCCTCCTTCGCTGGCAGGACTATGCTTCCCAAACTCTTACGTTAAAACCTGCCTACCTTTCAACAGGTAAAATCAGAACCCAGTGTCAACGTGAAACAAGTGAGGTTAAAATAAGAGGCAGTGGAAAAGGAACTGATGAGCAAAATATACCTTTATTCTCTTCTAATGTATCAGAGAATTCATTAACCCTGACATCACCCCTGCAGACTGCTGGCCAAGAGCTGAAACTGAGGCCAGCATTGTGGCACAGAGGGTTAAGCTACCACCGGCAACACCAGCATCCCACATCAGACAGACACAACGCCAGTTCGAGTCCTGACTGCTCTGCTTTCAATCCGGCTTTGTACTAGTGTGCCAGGGAGAGCAGAGGAAGATGGCCCAAATGCGTGGGCCCCTGCCACCCATGTGGGAGACTCAGATGCAGTTTCAGGCGCCTGGCTTGGGCCTGGCCCAGCCCCAGCATGTGGCCATTTGGGGAGTAAACCAGAGAATAGAAGATCTTTTTCTCTCTCTGTTTCTCTGCCTTTCAAATAAATAAAATAAATTAAAAAAAAAAAAAAAACCTGAAACTTTGTTGTAAGAAAGCCAGTTCGGGTGGGCATCTGTCACAGCAGTTATACCACTTGGGATGCATATTGGAGTGCCTGAGTTCAAGTCCTGGCTCTGCTTCAAAACCCAGTTTCTTGCTGATGCACATCCTGGGAGGTAGTAGGTGGATAGCTTAATGATTAGGTCCCTGTAAACCACATGGAAAATCTAGATGGAATTCTGGGCTCCTGGCTTCAGCCTGGCCCAGCCCCAAATGCTGTGGGCATTTGGAGAGTGAACTAGCAGATGGAAGTTTCTCTCTGCCTCATCCCCTGCCTCTGCCTCTGAAACAAAAAGTTAACTAATTAATTATTTTTTTAAAAGACTTATGTATTCATTTGAAAGGCAGAGGGACACACAGAGAAGCAGGGAGTGACAGGGATACAGACAGGGAGAATTTTCCTTCTACTGGTTCACTCCTCAAATGACCTCAACTGCCAGGACTAGGCCAAGCTAAAGCCAGGAGCCAGAAGCTTCATCTAGGTCTCCCAGGTTTGTGCAAGGGCCCAAGCATCTTGGCCATCTTCTACTGCTTTCCCAGGCCATACAGAAAGCTGGATCAGAAGTGAAGCAGTCGGGACTAGAACCAGCACACATATGAGACAATGGTACCACAGGCAGAGGATTAACCTAGTGTGCCACAGCATTGGCTCCTAAATAATTATTTTTTAAAAAAAGAAAAACAGCTATAGGATAAAAAATAAATAAATAAAAGCACAGGGGCTGGCACTGTGCCTGGGGCAGCAGCATCCCATTTGGGCACTGGTTCAAACCCTGCTGCTCCATTTCTGATCCAGCTCCCTGCTAGTGTGCCTGGGAAAGCAGCGGAAGATGGCGCAAGTGCTTGGGCCCCTGACCCTACATGGGAGACCCAAAAGAAGCTCCTGGCTCCTGGCTTTGATCAGCATAGCTCCAGCCATTGCGGCCAGCTGGGAAGTGAACCAGCAGATAGAAGACCTCTCCATCTCTCTCTGTCTTTACCTCTCTCTATAACTCTTTCTTTCAAATAAATAAAATAAATCTTAAAAAAAAAAAAAAAAGACAATAGTAAGCAGCAAGAGCTGGTGTCGGCCCTGCGGCTACGCCACCAGACAGCCCCAAAGTGAGAACGCATCCTCTCTCTCATTACCTGTTTTGTAAGTATCTGAAACAGAACCAAACACACCACCACAAGTGTTCATCTCGCTTCCTATTTCAGAATTCGGGAAAGATGTCTCTAACCTCAGCTTGCCACATGCCCAGCCTACATGAACAGCCCACAGTACCACATCTTTGTTAATTCTTTCAAGCATAAAAGAGCTGTATTCTCCAAATTAACGTTTGACAACTTTAATAGGGTTTAATAATAAAAAAAAAAAGTCCTTTTGCAGAAGTGGAAGAAATTGTGCTTTACTAACTATTTCCATTTATGGCTAAGTGGTTAAAGTAAAAGGAGAAACAAAGATGTTGATTTTAGCAGTAAGTGAACTTGAAAGTGAAGGTTCAGGAAGTCAAATGCTCGGGGAAGCAGAGTGAGACCTGACAACTACAACAACAGGACAAGATGTGCTAGCAGTACCAAAAGGTGCAGGAAACAACGCAGAAGCAGCTTCTGGGGCAAACAGCTTTTAAATAAGAAGTATATGCTGGTCTCAAAACTATCAATTAGCCAAGGAACTCAGAATTTGAACTCCCTTACTATTTTTAAAATCTGTCATTTTCAAGAACTTGAAGAGTTTTAAAGAATAACCTTTATTATCCACTTTTGTAAGCTAAATAAATCTCTTTTTATTAAATGAGCTTAAATCTGTAAATGTAAACAGATGGGTAAAGGCATCTGTAAATAGATCAGAAGAGGAAGCAGAAAGAAAAGAACAGTTTTACCTTTTTTAATTTTTTTCTGAAAGGCAAAGAAAGAGATCGCCCACCCACTGGTTCACTCATCAAATGCCTGCAGTAGCCGGGACTGGGTGGGGATGAAGCTGGTGGCTAGGAACTCAATCCAGGTCTCCCTTGTGGGCGCCAGGGTCATAATTACTTGAGCCATCACCCGCTGCCTCCCAGCGTCTGCACTAGCAGGAAGCTGAAATTGGGGGCATCCTAACCGACAGCGTGCCCACTAGGCCAAGTGCCTATCCCCAGTTTTATCTTAAACTCACTGTAACTACTTATTCAACTCCTATTGTTACCTTATCCTAAAATTTTCACTAAGAAAATAACCCCTGCCACCACTCCCTCCTAACACAAATGTGTTAACAGCTCCGGGGAGCCTGCAGCGTGTTCACAAATCTGGGCCCAAAACTGATCTTCTAATGTGTAAATATGAGTCTTGAGTAATCTAATAGAAGAAATAACTGACAAGGAAGAACACAATAAAGCCAAGTGAAGTGGGAGTCCTCTTCTTGACATCAGAGAATGGCAGTGACCAGAGAGAGGTATAGGCCTGGGTGGGAAGGATTCCTTCAAAGGAAACGGAAACCAGAAAACAGAGGACCACAGCAAGACTGAGGTCAGGGAAGAGAGACATTAACCAGTGAGTAAAATCTAGAAAGTGAGGGACGGCTCAGAAGGCTTCCCACCAAACGTCCGTCTTTCTGCTCCTGGTACAGAACTGGGAGACCAAGGAAGTGTTAGCACTACCTACTAAGAACTAAGCTAAAAAGAAAATGGCTACATTATTCATCTAAGGGTTTAGGCTGCAAGTAGAAATATCTGTGGAAATTAAAGAATCACATTTTGTTGTTGTCAAGAAAACATTCAGTCAAAGAGCATGGAGTATGAGTCCCAGATTTATCTACCAACTATCTAGAGAGGCTTCCTTCCCCAGAGATCAACTCACTTAGTACATTAAATAGTGTGTGTACACTGACAGAACAATCCCTGCCTTCCACTGCAGCCCCAGATAAGCAGAGAAGGGGAAAGCTTTAGCTGGCTCCTCCCCTCTCTCCCTACCTTCCCCTGCCTCCCCACCCTGCTCCTCTCCACCTGCTGGGGTATAGGGATGGAAAGGCATATGATCCCTGAGTGAAGGTGGGAAAGTTTTCTGTGTGGCTCACTGAAATGTACTTTAGCACACTTACCAACATCTCCATAAACATACAGGCCCCTTGGAGGTTTGCTCCTCGAAAAAAGCTGCAAATTAAGAACAAATCGTAAATCTCTACCATGAACAGAATTAAACATAATCATACACAAAGTGTTCCTAACTGTGCTATATATAGGTCCAAGAGAGGCTGTGTTACACATAAGAAAGAAAAAGCTTTATGCAAAAGGCTGTGAAGCCAGAATATCACACACCCTTAAAAAGAAAGGCAATGCAGACACATGTTGTGTGGATGAACCTTCAGTACATACGTTAGGTGAAACAGCCAGTCACAAAAAGAATCATGCTGTATAATTCCACTTACGTAGGGGATTTAGAATGGTCAAAACCCATAGAAACAGAGAGTAGGAGAAAACAGTCACTAGGGGCTGGCGGCAGTGAGGCATGGGGAGTAGTGTTTAATGGGCACAGAGTTTCTGTTTTACAAAGTGAAAAAGTTCTAGAGATAGATGGTGGTCATGGTGGTACAACATTATGAATGAATTCAATACCACTGAACTGTACCCTTAAGAACAGTTAAGGAGCCAGCACTGTGCCGTAGTGGGTTGAGCCAACACCTGTGGTGCCAGCATCCCATGTGGGCATCAATTTGAGTCCCAGCTGCTCCACTTCCTATCCAGCTCCCTGCTGATGCACCTGGGAAAGCAGCAGAGGATGGCCCAAGTTCTTGGGTCCCTGCACTCACATGAGAGACCTGGAGGGGCCTCCTGGCTCCTGGCTTTGGCCTGCCCAGGCCCGGCTGTTGCAGCCATTTGAGGAGTGAGCCAGCAGATGGAAGATCTCTTCCTTCCTCTCTCTCTCTCTCTCTCTCTCCTTCTCTGTAACTCTGATTTTCAAGTAAAATAAATATTTCTTTAAAATAAACAAACAAAAGCTAGATTTCAGGATCTAGTCCATAATGCATTTGATTTTGTATCATCTATGGGTTCCTTCCCACCTGCCTCAGAAACTTTGTTTGCCCTCTCGTTCTTCTTGGGTTTCTCTACTAAATCCAATGCCTGGTGCCAGCAGGTGGCTTCTAAACTTCTCCATGTTTCAGGCCAGGCAAAAGGAAGGCCCTTGCTTGGAGGCTTCCATCTGGATGGCTGTTCTGGGCTTCTCTGCATGTTAACACACTCCATTTATTCTTAAATCTCATCTGCAAGCAAATTGTCACTCCTTCCCAGCTTTGTCATTAAGAAGTGGATTCTGGGACTTCCTTTTTGCATGAATCATTGTTGTGCACTGGTTAGTCTATTTTCAACTTGTCAGAAAAAGTGTTATGCTCTTAAACAATTTAGAATAGCTTCAGATGGGAAAACTTACATGATACCTAATAATCTGCGTCCAGAGCGGTGATTTTTCTACTTTGATGGCCACGACTGGGAGGGGTTTATTGACAAGAAGGAAAGGTTAAGCCAGCTTAAGAGTGAGCAAGAGGAATTTCAAAAAGAAGTATTAAAAGCTAGGGCAGGGAAATGGATAACAGATCAGTTGAGATGGGAAATAATGTCAGGCAAGAAGAGGATTGAGCAACTGAAACAAACAACACGTAAAGGAAATGAGGAAATGAATACAAACTCAGAAGGCCTTTTAGAACAAAGGCAAGGAGTCAGGAGCTTTACTACAGAGCACGGCAGCACTGAGAGAAAGGAGAAGATGCAGAGGTTTAACCGCAAGCTTGGTGACCTGGGCGGAAAAAAGACCTCCGATGTAGGAAGCCATCACAAGCATGGGGCAAAGCCTTGGTGAGCAGTCATTGTTCCAATGGAGGAAGTACAGACTGGTGCAAGGGGCACTAGAAAAAACAAACAACTAACCATCTCTAAGTATATTCTACGCCTTAGGAGTCTCTGAAAGCAACATTCTATATTAACTGACTGGGAATGTTATAGTAATTCATAATTCTTTATAACACATTTTACAGTAATAGTTTAAAAGCTACTCTAGTACTGTTTGCATGATATAAAGATACTCATATGCTCAATAAATAAAGTTCAGGTAAAACAATTAACAAGGACAGGTGAAAGATGGTTCAGAGAGAACTCAATGCTGCTTCGGGCTGGCGCTGTGAGGCAGTGAGTTGAAGCCCAGGCCTGAAGTACCGGCATTCCATATGGGCGCCGGTTCTAGTCCCGGCTGCTCCTCTTCCCATCCAGCTCTCTGCTATGACCTGGGAAAGCAGTAGAAGATGGCCCAAGTCCTTGGGCCCCTGCACCCACATGGGAGACCTGGAAGAAGCTCCTGGCTCCTGGCTTCGGATCGGCGCAGCTCCTGCTGCTGTGGCCATCTGGGGAGTGAACCAACGGATGGAAGACCTCTCTCTGTCTCTACCTTTCTCTGCAACTCTGTCTTTCAAACAAATAAATAAATCTTAAAAACAAAAATGCTACTAAAAAAAAAGCATTCATGGTCCTACCTTGCTTTCCTACTCAATAGCTTAATATATCTGAGAAAGGACACTCTGGCAAATGTTATGGTGAATACATCTCACAGTTTATAATATTTCTTATTATATTTTATAGTAATATTTAGATGATGATAGAGATTCTACTGTATATACCAGAGAAGAAGACTCTCAAACATCTGAGGTCACAAGCAGTATGGCATAAATACTGGAAAACATGCTGGTTTTCATCTGAAGAAGTGGATAATTAAAATGAATATCTTTCCAACAATGCACATTAAACATAGTCTATCAAAACCACATTATATATTGTAGGCCCCTCTTACCTGAGCAGGAGACAGTCCAAGACCCTCAGTGAATGTCTGAATGCCTGAAACAGCGGATGGTACTAAAGCCTACCTGAGTACACGTCATGTTTAGGTTTATACATGTCTATGATAAAGTTTAATTTATAAATTAGACATGATAAGACATTAACTGTGTCTAATTATGTTATAACAGTAACTAATAATAAAAAGGAACAATCAGAACAATATCCTGTGATAAAAGTTATTTAAAGCCTAAAAATTACTTCTGAAATTTTCTGACCATGGTTGATGATGGGTAACTGAAACATCAGAAAACAAAATCACAGGTAAGGAGGAAACTACTATGCACCAAGTATTCTCACCAGGTGGAAGCCAGCTAACTTTCTTCTAATAAAATTTCATTCGGGGCCGGCATTGTGCATAGTGGGCTAAGCTTCAGCCTGCAGCACCAGCATTCCATATGAGTGCCAGTTCCAGTGCCGGCTGCTCCACTTCCAATCCAGCTCTCTGCTATGGCTTGGGAAAGCAGTGGAAGATGGCCCAAATGTCTGGGGCCCTGCACCCACGTGGAAGACCAGATGAAGTTCCTGGCTCCTGGTTTTGGATAGGTCCAGCTCCAGCCGTTGCAGCCATTTGGGGGTGAACCAGAGGATGGAAGACCTCCCTCTCTTTCTCTGTCTTTGAAATAAATAAATCTTTAAAAAATATATATATAAATATATGTTAAATAAAAAAAATCAAAGAGCAATAAGACTATTTAGAAGGCTGTAAAATGGTTCTTAAAGATTTTAAATTCTTTTTAAATTTATTGGTTTATTTTATTTGAAAGGAAAGGACTGAGAGACCTGATCTCCCAATGTCAGACTGACAGACAGACAGAGATCTCCCATGCGCTGGTTCCCTCCTCATATGTTTACAACAGCCAGGCCAAACCTGGGGCTGCGATTTCAGTCCAGGTCTCCCACACGGGTGGCAGTAATCCAACTACTTCAGCCACCACTCGCTGCCTCCCGGAATGCACAGTAGTAGAAAGCTGGACTCAGAAGCAAGACTGGGCCTGGACCCCAGCACTGTGATTTGGAAGTGAGTGCCCCAAGCAACATCCTAACTGCTGTGTGAAACACGGGCCCCTTAAATTCTTCATTCACAACAGTGATTTCAAGGAGAGTCCGGCTCACACAGTTTCCTTCAATATGACTGTCACTCAGGAACCCACATCATTTGCATGCCCCTAATGTACATTTTCTCACAAGTCACTCTATTTTTCAGTTCCATTACATTTCGTTTCTTCATGTTCTAATTTCCTATACGTTGTTCTGTCTCAGAAACAACAGGGAACTGTGACACTGACCGTGGACTTCGCCCTCACGTTATTTCTCAGTGCCTATAACTCTCCAAATGCTCCCTTCCCCCGGGGCCTTCTCAGTTTGGCTCTGGACCTTAGGAGGCTGACCTTGCTGGCTGGCTCCAGGCTCACTAGGCCCATGGGAGGTGCTACTTACAGGAGACAGAGGAGAGGGGCTGGAGCTCTACTAGCCTTTTCCTGCTGTCCCCTCCAGCTTGAGTCCTGTGGCAGAGCTGCGTCCCTCCCAGGGCCATCAGCTGCCCTTTCTCTCAGGCCATAGTCCCAGCTCGCACCGGTTCCCCCCTCACCGCTCCATCTTCACCTTGATGGAAAAACCTGGCCAGGCCTCTCTAAGTAAGAGCTTGATTTAATCTTTATTTGAAACACCTGCCAGGATTCTGAAACCCACCCAACTCTCAAAAGGCATACACTAAACACTAGACCCAGACTAAAAAAATGTGAAATGAATAAGTTTCTCTAATGACCAGTCGTTAAGACTTGTCCTAAGTTAGCCTGGGGAATTTGTAAAGTAGGATGATGACACCTTCTCTAGCGGGTTTTTGATAAAGATCTAATGATACTGCCAGTTGGAACGTGCAGATGGTGAGCTTCAGGATAAAGCCTATCACCTAGCTCCACTCAGCATAAAAGATACCGCAGAAGAGTCCTAGACTGCAATCCAAACGATCCGGGTACAAATCTTGGGTCTGCTACTTATTAGATACAGGGCCCAGGGCAAGCCACATCAACTTGCCAACCTGCTGTTCCCTTATCTCTTTGGTGCAGGCCACAGCAGAGGGCGTCCCCACTCACTGCCCGCTTCTACGTCCCTAATCACAAGGCCCACTCAGTCACACCAGACTGCAAACCTGATGTGCTTATTGATCCTTGTTTACATCCAGACCTGCAGTCTATGAGAAAAGAAGGGGCACACTTCTCTCAAAGATCTGACACAGTTAGTAAGCTCAGCCAATTTTACATCCATATAAACTTTCTAATTAAAAAGTCAATAATATGCTTTAAGACGTGTGACACATTTCCAAACACAGTCCATTTGCTAAGCCATTAGGGAAACCTCAAATAAGTTCCAAAGAATGAAGTGCACTCCAACCATAATGTTAGGAAATTATAAACAAATGTTGGGAGGATAGCTAAAAAAATAAAAACGTCATTCTAGGATATCTGTCCTTCTGTCACTGTCCAGACTGCTAAAGACTGGCGGGAGAAGTCTCACAGCCGTCATATCGTCCATAATTCCACTTCCCCGGTGAGTTTACTCGGTCTCTGCAGTGTTCTCTGGAAACTTCTCAGCTCCCTTCAAGCTTAGTTTAGCTTCCTCATCAATTCAGGGATCTCTCCCGCTTCTTCATGAAGAGAAAGCAGAAGGCATCAGGTGGGAACTTCTTCAACTTCCACATGAAATCGCAACCCCACCCGGATCTGAACCCACCATCTCCTCCTTCATACCTCTTCCTCTTCAACCTTGTAGCAACTTCTAGATTTCACACCCCACCCACCCAAACCCAAACCCACACCCACACCCACACCCATGCTTTTCGGGGACCTTGGCCCATCAATGTAAATGTCTCTTCTCTTGTACTCCTCATCAACATCTGTATAAATGTCTTCCTGATAATTTCTACAGTCTTGAAGTGTGGTGTCTCACAAGCAAGTCATAAACCCAGAAACCCTCAGAGAGAAGATAGATTCATTTAAAAAAAATGAAGTGTAAACTTTCAGTTTGGAAAAATATACCAGGAAAGGTTAAAAGGCCAATAATATGTGGGACAAAATGCATCCTTTACTACAAACAAGAACTTGTTTCTTTCAATAAACAAACAGCTTGTAAATCAATAAGGAA